ATCCCCGTTGATGGCTTGGATAATATATCTGAGGCAATGAAAAGAATAGTCGCGACAGTAGCAGAATTCGTCGAAGCATCAGGTTTGCTGAGCCAGCGTTCGCTGTTTGGTCTTAGCTGGACCGGCGCTGTGCAAATTTTCAGCGTTCAATGGCAATTGATAGGTTTGCCGCCGTTTGATGAGTTCTCACGAACTGGAGTGTGGAAGATGCTGACTGTGCGCGAGTTTGGAGGCGATGTTATGCTCATTTTAACTGTCAATCCTTTGGAGGAGAAAGAAAAGGAGGAATCTCTGAAAAAGGAGTTTGCTGCGAGGTAACTTCATTCCGATTGTTGTACAAAGTTTCAGTAACTAATACGTTTCAGATTTCTTGATCCAACAAACTTCTCAGAAAGAAAATTCCGTGTAACTTCTTTGTTTTGGCATTCCATTGCCAATTGTAGCGATCAAGTTGAGTACGAGCATATCGGAGGTGGGTCAATTTCCTTTTTATGGGATGGAAACCATGAATGATCAATTCTTTCAGGAGCTCCCTATATTTACGAAACCCTATTGGGCTGCCGTTTCCGAGTCTCACCATCGGCATTTTTCCAGACGAATAGTCAAGCCGCACAAGTTTTATATACTACAATTGGTAACTTTTGTCTATAACTCGCCTCTCCCATTTCTTTGCTTCCCTCATACATGGTAGGGACGTTGAGGGTGATATTCACAATATTTACATGACATTTCGAAGGTTTGTCTGGGAAGTTCGGACGCTTGTGTTTCGAATGGCCTTTTTCTTTTTCCCATTTATAATGATAGAAAATCCCCTGAACTCCATGCTCTTATATATAACGATAGCTTTTTAAAAGGAAGAAGATTTTTTTATTCCATAAAAATCCTGAGTCTGGCTTCAGTATGCTTTTTTGATTACCCATCTTTCAACATTCGCGGGTTAGTTTGACTTTTCTAAGTTATTAAGTGAGGAAAACAAGAGGATTACGTGAATGCGCCAACTTGTAGCAAAGTGTATCTGCAATCATAGAGTTCTCTTCCTTTTTTGGCTTTGATTTAAATTTTCAAGTATCGATAAAGTTCATCTCCCATTTCTTTCTTTTTTTT